ATTTTTAATTGTATTTGATCTAGAGTCACTAAGCATGTCTTTTATTATGGTCAGCATTTTTCAGTTATCTGAGAAATTATTTCTGATTTTATTGTCTTCTAGAGCCTCATTGACCTGCTTTGTTACTTTCACTGTTACCACTTCAGGTTACTTTTGACTCTTTCCTCTTCATCATCCCCTGGGTTTCCCTTTGGTGAACTGCAAGTTTGGGGCTGCATCTTGCTTGTGTCTTCTCATTTTCTTTTCTTTTAAGTTTATTTCCTGGGTTGATGCTTATAAGTTGCTTAAGGTGAGTAGCTTTATCGCTAGTGTTAGAACACTTAGGAAATAACTACTACTCAGAGATGTTTTTCAGGTGTAGTTGGTTTTCGATTTTGAATCTTTTGCAAGATCCTATCTATTCAATTTTTTAGAGATAAGAAGTCACTGCCTACTTGGCTTGTGATTCTTTGGTAGTAGCCTATAATATTTTCTATGACATTTATGCAATCTTAATCTTGGCATACCAGGAAAAATTAATTAGAACAATTATGTCACCTTAGCTAAATAGTACAGTCAACAATAACTATAGTATCAAACACAACCTTGAAAGTGACAACTACTAGTTGTCAATATTTCAATTCTGTGGTAACTACTAATTTACCAACTTTAATTATATGGTCTGGATTTGTGGCTTTATAAATATATCTAAATCAAACAAGGAAATACTATACAGTAAATAACCCTCAGTGTGCCTATTTTACCCTCAAGAGAGAAAATTTAAAAGAGGTTATGGGAAAAATAGAGACATAAAAGAAGAGAGAGTGATTAGGAGCAAGTCTGGAGGACAAAAGAATTAAAAAAATATCCACTTTAAGGCATGCCTCTGCTCTCACTGGAAACAAATTGGGCAGAATCCAGATGCATGTTCATTAATCCCAGCAAGCCAGCCATAGCTTTACAGCAGGGTAGTGAATAATCCCAGCAAGCCGGCACTTATAGTTCTACTGAAGCTCAGGCTGGTTTCTGGCTGTGAGACTGGAACCAGATTTGTTCAGCCTGCAGCACTCCATGTGCCTACTGCCAACTTGTACTTGGCTCCCTGGTAGCTGGAACTTGGCTCCTTGATCTCCTGCGGACTTGAACTTGGCAGCCTCACCCTGACACTCTCAGTTGTATCAACATTTTATAATTTTCATTGTAGAATTTTTTTTTTTAAAATTTTTGTTGAATTTGTTCCTCAAATATTTATTTATTTATTTACTATTTTAAATGAGTGTTTTGTTGTTGTTTTGACTTCCATTTCAGTTAACTCACAATTAGAATATAGCAATGCTACTGATATTTTTTTGCCGTTGGTTTTGTATCTTCCAACTTTGCTGAATTTAGTTATATCTTCTAATCACATTTTTGATGGAGTTATTGGGGTTATGTATATAAAAGTTCATGTCATCCACAGTGATAGTTTGACTTCTCCTTTTAATTCAAATGCTTTTTGTTTTTGTCTGCCTGATTCATCAGGCTACAAAATCTAGCATTGTGTTGAATAAACTTCGTGAATGTGGCCATGTTTCTGTTGTTCTAGATATTAGGAAAATGCTTTCATTTTTTCTTCCATTCAGTATATTAGTTATTGGCTCAGTGTAAATGGTCTGCAATGCTTTGAGCTATGTTCTTACTATGTCTTCTTTGTTTAGTGTTTTTATCATGAAAATATATTACATTTTATGAAATGACTTTTGACATGTATTTTCATATAACTGTTCTTCATTATGTTGATTTAGTGTATAATATTTACTGATTTACTGATTTAGTGTATAATATTTACTGATTTAGAAATATTGAATATCTTTGCATCACTGGGATGAATCTTACTTAATTGTGATGAATAATCTTTGTGATTTATTTTTAGGTTCAGTTTGCTAGTATTCTGTTGAGGATTTTTGTGTCTAGTTAGAATGAGGGTGTTGGTTTCTAGGTTTTTTAAAAATTTGTTCTTCTCTGTTTAGTTTAGGTATTTATGTTCTACTTTCATAATGGTAATGTCCGGCTAAAATAGAATACTTAGTACCTTGCAATAATTATCATAACTGCTTAGTAAAAATATGTACAATTAATGAATGGGTATTTCTGGCTTATATTAGTACCATAGCTCAATAACCAACAGTTATAATTGTAACAAATACACAGAAGCTGGCATTTTAGATGCATTTCCTATCAACAAAAATTTCAATCTGTAATAAATTCCCATGTAGTACAGTATGTGTATGATGAGGGTATTTAGTTACTTTTTTTAGAAACTTTTAAATCACAAAGGAAAGTGTGAAGAAGGGTGTAATAATGTACCTGTCATTAATAATGTAACTGTCATTTGTGCACTCATTTAAAACACTAAATAAATAAATATTTAAGGAACAAATTCAACAAAAATTAAAAAATAAAAATTCTACAATGAATTCTTCATGTAACTGTCATTAACATTCAACAATTGCCAGCATTTACAATTCATACTTTATCCCACCTTCCATAGTTGTTAATAGTCTAGAAAATTTTCACACAATTGCACTAGAAAATGAGCAGTATTATTTTTAGAAAAAATAAAAATGAGTTATCATCTTAAACAGAAATTAATATTATAGGGCTTTTATTTAAAAATTTTGTTTCTACATTTGTACTCCATTTGTTTTACTTTACGTTTTTTTTTTTTGGAATGAAGCTCAGAACCTTCAGCTCGCTGGGCAGGCACTTGTACCGCTGAGCTATATCGTTGGCCCTTTACTTTCAAATTATGCATGCCAGTGACTTTAACATAGTTATGCATTTGAATTATGCTACATGAATTTCAAATTAGCAAAATATATTTATTAACAATGAGCTTATAAATGTAGTTTAAGATTCTTAGCATTTTATACTTACAAAATATAGTAGTTGCAGAGGTTAAATATAATTAACAGTCACTTTTAAAAACCATTTGCATAGACCGCAAAGATATACAATTGATGTTCAATTACATTGGCCTAAACTTTCTAATTTTTTCTTTTGACTACATATATTACCAAGGTAATTAAAACATCAGTTCTTTCATACAAAAACCATCTCGCAACTCTCCCAACATTTTTCTATATATGAACATTTCTTTTATGAAATTCTACTTTCTAGCCACTTGTTAAGTCCTCCTTTTTGTTTGTTTGCACCATTGTTCTCTTCCTTTGGCCATTGAAGGGAGTCATTCTAGAGTTTAGGAAAATAAAGTCACTCCCCACAATGTTATCCACTTTATTCCATATGTGTTTTAACAATGTCTGTAAATCTAGAGAAAGCCCACTTTTCAGAGTTAATTTAATTCCCTGTGAGTATTATCTTGAAATTGCCTGGGTATACAAAGGTGCACTCATCCATCAAGAACTATTTGTTAACTTATGGCAAGAGAGAAGTGCTGTTAGTAAAAATACCTACACTGACATACAGAAGATTTCAAAAAAGGTTCAAATTCAATTTTTGACTTTATATACATGCATTGCACATCTATTAATAACACACTAGACAAAATCATGTGCTTTAAGCGATATATTCTTATCTCTTGATGTTTCAGATTGCGTGGGCTAGTGGAACGTACTTCAAGCAAAAACAACAACAGAACATTTCTGAGGTGGGAAGAGTTTACATGAAATATGTTTTCTTGATGTGGGAAGGCTTATTTTAATTTTGAATGATTAAATGTTAAATAAATACATAGCTTGCCAATGTAAAAGTATATTGTACCTACATGGATTAAATGTTTGTTTTCACTCGTTTTTGTGAACAGTTCATGAGTAGAGGCAGTATTTTTCCTTAAGAGACCCTTACATTCTTGATGCTTTGCTGGCCAAATGTTACACATATTTGTTTCCAGATTCTAGGTTCCTAAATGTGATTAGGATGATTTTTCCCAAATAATGAGAGTGTAGATTTGCCAGATCCTAATGAAAATGCCTAAGGAGTGAAAACCACCGAGGTTGCGGGGTTATGTAAACAACAAAGACAACCAGTTTCTTCGACAGAGACAGGAAGTCAGTGGTTGGTAGGGGAGGTAGACCTGAAATGCAGCAATCCACAGAAGCTGTAGAGCTGCACAGCTTATACTCTGGGCTTTAGAGAGGGGCGAGCACATGTTTGCCAATCAGAAAAATGAGTGTAAGGAGTAACTATAGTAGAAAGAGCCATGGCGTCCACCAAAGACTGAAAACTTTTATTTCCTTTGGAATAAATTGTAAAAGCTCTTTTTCTCTAATGTTTAAGTGATGTTTAAGTGAACATGAAAAAAAAAATCCTTAAAAGTGATTAGTATTGAAATTCTCCCTGATACTGAAAAGGGAGTGCTTGGGTCATTATAGAAATGATTGAGAGAGAAATGAGATTATTTATTATTTTTAAAGCATCCTTTAATAATTATCTGAAACATAAATGCATAAATGCGAGTACAATTCAAGTTTACTGAATTATCCAGGGAAACTGTAAACCTTTCACCTCAAGCTATGTGTACATAGCACTTATTATAAATGTACTGTGATTCATCACCTCAGGAAAGCTGCGGTTTCATGAAAATTGATGATCTACACGAAAGTCTATAAGAGTATATTGAAAAAAGAGACTGGGGAGAAGAAACTGTTTAAAATGCATAAAAATATTAGTCCTGACTATAAATACTGCAGAAAATTTATGAACAAATTCGCAGATGGCAAGGGCATCAGCTACAGGGAATAGGGTTTCCAAACATCCTATTCCCAAGCCAGGTATTCGCCACTTGAGGTAAAACAGACTATAAAATTAACTGTCAATAGTAGCACAAGAGTTATTCCCTAAGCCGGATCCTGAAGTATGTGCAACACAGCTCATGGATTAATATGTATCTCAGGGGATCGAAATCAAAGTGCATTTCAGAGCTGTCCTTGGTCCCACTTCCTGGGCTGAATAATGATAATTATAAAAGGGAGTCTATGGAACTCTTTTCTTTTTTTGTTTGAATTTGCAGAGATGCTTACCTCATCAGAGCCATCTGCGCAGTCAAAATCTCCATCACACCAAAACCTTGAAGAAACACAGTCGCCACTGGCACATAGAAAATCTTTCAATGTACAAGTCTGTGGCTCTGGGAACAGAAAAATAGCACAAGGTTATTCTATTATATATAACTTCATTCTAAAATTTATATGGCATACCACATAAGAATGCATTAAAGAAAAACAAGAGGTTATCCAGGCAGAATCAATAAATTGTTTAGGAGGGAAGAGTCTCATGAAACATCTGTGGTACATAATATAAAGATTTTTTCAAATTTATTGTAGAGTTGTGAATATAAAGTAAGAGCACAGAAAAAAATTGAAAAACAAGGTAAGAGATAGCCTCCTATTTAGCAAAAATACAGCAGCAAAGTAAAATGAAAGGCAAAAACACTTCACATGTTGTTATACTGTAACAATAATCTTTTCCAGTTAGAATTTCAAGCCATCTAATGTATATAAGTAAGGCCCTTAATCTCCATACTTATGGATCTATTTATAATATGCAAAGGGAGTTGGCCTGTGGTTCTTGATTTTTTAGTATGTAATCTAGTAAGTTTTAAGTTATTCAGTTTTGTCACCAAAAATTCCAGAGTTCATGGACAAGAATGGTACATGGCGTTGGACATGACTAGGTGTGTAAGGGTAAAATAGTTCAAATGAGGTTGTTCTCTTTGAAAAGTATTTGTTTATATCATAGTTTGATTTTGTCCTAAATCATTTACCTGTCAACTTAACTAATTTGCTACTTATTGATTTCATTGTGCTTTTGCAGAATATAAGAGAATATAAGCCAAATAATATGACTTACTACTTGGCTTAACACCTATGTGAAATATGCTTCATCTGGACAATGAGGTAAGACCTCAGAAAATGGTTTCTGAAAGTAATTAGCTGGAGCCCTGAATATAAACTTGCTCAGCATTCTATCTTGCATGATGAAGAATGACCTCATCTTGTTTTCTGTATAAATTAACTGTATTTACAGTTATGTCATACACAAGCATATTCTCATTCAGGGGAAGGAGGAATAGTTAACGGGCATTACAGCTGAGGAACACATCAATGAAGCCTAATCTGCATATATATTGTGAATGATTCCGTCCACACTTGAATATTGCTCTACATAATCCACTCAGTTTCTGGGTATAGGTAGCATCTTGGATGGTTGGCATAAGAAGGGCACCTATATTTTTATATAGCAAAATTTGAGAACATTTGGAAATCAGTAGAAATTGTAGTATGTGTAAGAGAGTATTTGGTTCTGCTTGGGAATCTATTTTGTTTTAAACTATAACCTTTATATGAATGCAACAAGACCTATACAATGAATAGGAAACACCCACTGAACAGGTGATCTCTCATTTGTTTAACGTGACAAAAACTATTCCTATTTTTGTCTGTATATTGTGTTTATATATGATTTATCTTTAAAATAACCATATTCATACTACTAGTAATAATAATTATAAGAACCAATTAACAATTTTTTTTATTGTTAGGCACTAGATGTAGTTTTGATGAGTACTTGAAGTAACTCACCGGGGGATCCTCCTAACTCCATAAAGCATGTGCTAGTGTTTTTCCCTTTCTAGATGAATAAACTGAGATTCAAAAAAGATAAGAAATTTACTGCAAATTACCCAGCATAGGGAAGAACTAATGCTAAACTCAATCGAAAATATCTGGATACCAGGGCCAGTAGGTTTAATATCTCAGTACCTCAGTACCTCAGTACCCAAACAGCTGAGAAAGTAAGAGATGTCCATAATATTAAAGCCCTCAGAAATCAATTTACTTTTCTAAGTATTTGCTTAATAAAGTCTGTTCTACTTCACAATAATGAGGAAGCCAGGCATGGTGGCACACGCTGTAATCTCAGCATTCAGCAGGCAGAGGCAGAAGGTCTGCTGCAGTTGAGGCCAGCCTGGTCTACAGAGGCAGTTTTTAGGGCCAGCATTATCTACACAGATAGAACTTGACTCAAAAAAAAAAAAAAATTAAGAAAGGACGAAATTTTTTGGTTCTTGTCAGTTTACACCAGATCAAATTTTCTATCTTCATCTTTGTACATGTATGAATTATTATGCTTAAGAACAATAAATTATAATAAAATATATGTAGCTTAACCATGGAACACAACAATTAAAAAGGTCTATATTAAATGAGTAAAGAGAATTTCTAAGGTATAACATACCTAAAGGCTTAAAAACAGCAGAAGAAACTTTTAATTTCGTCAATCAGAGGGCTATCTGAAGATTAATTCTTCCTCTATTGTTCTACCTTGCTTTATCTTATTTAAAAGCCAGTGTGTCAATTAGGTGCCAATCAGCAATGGCTTTATAGACTTGATATATTTTGCTATATGAAAGGCAATAGCTTGAGGTAAGAGTAAAAAGTTATTCAGCCAATACCCGGAGGTATTTGTATGATAGTTCCACACAGAAATATTTTTCTATAAAGATTTTTTTGCATTACTAAAGATTCTGTTTCAAAAAGCGGTGAAGAGACTATCATTTGTTAGGAAAAGAACTCTCTATGAAAATAGAAATTCTTTATATTTCTACTATGCTTTAACAATATAAGCCAATTTACTACTGTGATACAAGCATGAATTACTACATTTGTACAGATACAAATACATCCAGGAATGCAGCAGCTAGTCTAATACTAACTCTCATGTAAATACCTCAGAATCTTTTGTCACTAGGTAGTTTAAGAAGAAACTTTCTCTTGCCAAATGAGTTTGGACAAGAGAGAAAGGCCCAACATTTTTTTTCCTCTCTTACTTTTAAAAAAAATAAAGTTAAAACTAACTTCCAGATTTCGGGTGATAGTTGACATATTTCTTGTAAAATGAATCAACAAAAGATGTATCTGAAAGATAATCAATCTGGAAAAAATATTGAGTGTGACTATCCCTCCAATATTTCCAAAATGCTGTCCCTACATTTATTTTGTCTGATATTAATTATATACAGAGACTATGAGTAGATGGGGAACACCACACATGAACAACTAATGAGATTTTGCATATATTTTATCTAGACAGGAAGACTGCCAATCAAGAAGCTTCTGAGGATATCCTCTCGTGATTGAGAAGGCCAAATTAAATTACATAAGAATGCAAAATGAGAGCATCATATTGGCTGGTCATGTCCTTAAATACTGACAGAGTCCAAAACAAATCCTGTCAACATTGAAAAGAATTTTGGAAAAAATTTTACACAAAACTGAACAAACTGAAGTTGAAGAAATGAAAGTAACTTAGAAATTCATACACTTAACAATACAGTAGAAAAACCTCCACAGTTCAGATTTTCCACTGGATTTCAAGAGTTATATGAATGTGGGTATAAAAACTGAAAATACATTTTTAGAATATATTTTATATAACTCTTATTCTACACAAATAACCTTCTGATACAAAGTCAGCGTGAAAGTACTAGATATTCACATAAGGCAAGAGTAGCTTGTCTCCTTATAAAACGGTAGTCAAATAGATAAAACTGTTTAGCATTTTAAAATCTATAAAATTGTTAATCTCTTCATAATGTAAAGTTATAATGTATTTTGCACATTAGTTACTTAGAAAGCACAAATATTATATTTTTGGTAGATGAAAATATAGATGGTGATATTTCTCAAGCATTTCAAAATCATCTAGATTACAAAATTATTCAATTATCAATGAAATTTCATGTTTTAAAAGCACAAATCACTGCTGAAGCAAACTATCTATGCTGAATTTAACAAGGGAAATGATCAGCAGATGATATTGAAATGACAGTCGATCAATTATCCCAAGAAAACATAAAAATGTAAAAAGCTTATTAAATGTAAAACATAGCTGTCAGTTAATTGCTCCAGTATTATTTGAACTCTTTCCATATATATGACTGGAGTGATTCCAACACAATTTAAAAAGAAAATTAATTAAAGCAGATTCATAAAAAAATCCAAAAATGATTTCAAAAATATGTTGCTATTGTTTTTAAATTAAAATTGATTTATTATCTCTGGTATATTTTGCTACTTATTAATAGATAGCAGTAACTATTAGATATAAACTCAGGTGCATATTATTGAGAAATAAATTTTAGAAAATATGACAATGTACCATTGCTTCTATACAAGTGCATAAAATTATAAATGAAATGGCAAATGTATCTAATAAATATATTTATTAGTATTATACATATATTTTACCAAAAGTGTAGATAGGTAGATATGCAGTACTTCAGCAGATAAGAATAGAGAAATATCTTGATGTCGGTTATTATAGTAACAATATTTTTTAACATTGTCTTCTGTATTTCTATGTCCTGTATGTCTTTTTTTGTGATACTAGGGATTGAAACAAGTGCCTTCACCCTGAACTACATTCTTATCCCTATTTTTTTCTTTTTTTTGTCTTTTTGAGACAGGGTCTTGCTATGCAGTTCAGGCTGGCCTTGAGCTCACTTTGTAGCCCAGGCTGGTCTCGAACTCACAACAATCCTCCCACATCAGCCTCCTGAGTGCTGGGATTACAGTGGTGTGCCACCACACCTGACCCTTATCCCTACTTTTAGAATTTATTTTGACACAGGTTCTCACTATATCGCTGAGTTGCCTAAAGCTGGCTCACACTTATGATCCTTCTGCTTCCTCCTCCAGCGTGGTAGGGTTACAGGTGTGCCATGCTCTGCTTATTGCTAATTAATTGATCCATTCTTCCATGACAGGTTTTGTCTATACAGAACAACTGACGTTTGCAATGTCAACTTCTTCCAGTCTACGTAGCATAGCATCTTCAAACAACAAAATTTGAAAAGCTTCTCAATTATCTACATCATTTGATTCTTCCTGTTGTGCATTCTACAAGCTTACCTCAATATACTTTGGTATTTTTTTAACAAACTCTTTAACTTGTCTTACATATAAACCTATTAACATGCTTATTCTGTGTATGCCTTTTATTCTTCCCTGTCACAACTATAATGTAATTTGTTCTTATTCGCTGTCATATTTCCTATGCAATTTCATCAGTATTACTTGTTTCAGGCAAAATCTCAAACTGAATAGAAACTAAAAGAGAACCACATGTAATTGGATATTTTACATTGCAGTGCTTGATATTGCAGCTACATCTTTTGCTTCTTCTTCAGGGCTTTGTGGCTACAGTGAATCATTACTGTTTCCACAGTGACAAGTGAGACTCAATTTTCTGTGTTTTACCTTCTTGGGCCAAAGGTTGATGGTTAGATGCCAGCACAATGGTACTCAGCCACTTAGAAAACCACCGCAGACTCAGTGGCAGCCGGTTTTGAACCTTCATCCTCCTCCTTGTCTTCTTACACCAAGAGCCTAACTTCTTACCCAATTTGAACTCCTTCCTTGAATGAAGGTTCTTCACACCTGACTCCCTCAGATTTCCTTCTCATTCACCCTCTCATATACTTGTTATCATTCAGTCCTAAAGTATTTGACTTCAGGTATCTATGTTGTAATCAACCTCAAAACATACCAAACTATGTTTTACCTGATATACAAAGAAACAAAGTTACTATAATAACTGACATCAAGATATTTCTCTATTCTTACTGTACATGATTTTTTCTTTTGTGTTTTTATGCTTCTCTCTCTCTCTCTATATATATATATATATACCACCCTAATCCCATCAATTTTGTCCCATCAAATTTTTATTGTAATTCCTGGACAGAATAGAAAATATGATATACAGAGTTTTTTTAAAAAAAAATGCTAAATAAAGGAATCTAAAGCATTTTAAACTCCCTACAATGTTCTCTGCCTTTATGTGATTATGATTAGTTGGGAGTTAGTTCTGTGAAGGAGTTTAAAAGGTTGCTATATAAAGAGCATTCAGTAACGAAAAAGATACAGAGCCCTCGCATTTAACCTACTTGATTTGCAAACACGTCCAATTAAATTTTGAAAATTATTGAAAACATTAATTCCTATTGTGTAATTTAAATGTTCACGTGATTTTTTAAAGGCTTTTGCTCTACTAATTGCATGACTTAGTACAACATATTTCTGCTAGATTTAGTTTTCTTTCCTCCTGATAGTGAATGCTCTTTTAACAATAAATCATATGTAAAAGGAGACATTATTGTTATTAATCTGCTTCAAATCCTTTTGTGGAGGTTGCAAAATACAAACATTTAACAGATAGAATATCACCATCACTTTATCTTGAACATATTGTTTTATTTGTTCACACAGCAATATATTAAAGCACTGATAAGAAATATACTCAAAAATGGTGATGCAATATCTGTTCAGTACTCACAGACTTGTGTAGCATGTGCCAAGCATTGGGTTGGATCCCAGGCAAAATACAAAGGAAAAGGAAATACACTCAGGAACTAATTAAAAAATATAGAGACCTTATCAAAATTTTAAAGAGTGCCATATGTTTTAAAAAATAAAACTGTTGGCTTTTTATTTTTTAACATATTACAAAAATACAAGAGAAAGATCATGATAAAAGTGCTATTCTATTTTTAAAGGAAAACATCTTAAATACATATGATATTCACCTCTGCAGAAAAATAAGTGATAATTCACTGAAGGATACTCTGGGGTGAATTTCCAGGGCAAAAGATATTGAGACTGCAACGAAATGAATACTGCCTGTTATAGAATGAGATATTTTGTACCATCTCCACATCATTCAGCTCATTGTATGAACTTGCAGAGAGGAACTCCTTTGGTGCATACTAATGGGTCACGTTAAACCTTATGATACATTCATACCAATTCTGAGAACTGGAAGAAAATCACTCTAAGGATAAGCATTTCAGTAATTTTATCTTGTAAGATTTAGGTCAATTTAGTCTGAATATTCTTGCCCAAATGTAAATATACATATAATATTGTGAGCTGCAGGATAGATAGGTTCACATTTTACCTTAACCGAAAGAAAAATTGCTGCCCTGACCAGATCACAGGGTTATTCGGCACGAGTTACTTACTACAATTTTCTTCGTCAGAATTATCGCTGCAGTCATTCTGGCTATCACATCGCCAGTGATCTGGAATACAGTTGCTGTTTTTACACTGGAATTCATGCGGTCCACATGTCTTTTTATCTGTAATGGAAAGAGCTACAGTTTGCAACGACTTCCAAGAGGACACTCCTCATAATATTATTCCACCAAACATGACACTTCCTATGAATTTAAAGAAATCAATGGCTGAAAAGAATTCTAGGAAAAAGATGAAAACAAGTACTGGATAATTCATCTTTTCCTTGTTTTGTGTCGTTATTGGTCGTATGTTCATCAAAGTCTGATTATAAAACTCTTCAGTAGACCACCCAAGGGAAGTCAACACAAATCACTCAGAAAAAAGCAAAAGTATCCCAAACCATCCTCTTGTAAGGGCACTCCTTGTCTAGCCCACTCTGTCTGCTGTTCTTATTCAACCTTTAAGATTTCCATCTTGTTTTTCACAAGTCCTCTTATCCATAATCTACTTCAGTGTAGCTACTCTTTTTAAATATTTGTCATTAACCAACCATAAACCTCATAGAGAATGGTAAGTTGAGTATAAGTTTTCTAAAAATGTATAAGATGACGCATATTTCAGGTGACAGATGTTTTTCAGATTTTACAATATTTACATAAATATAATGAGGTGTCACTGGAACTGAACCCAAGTGTAAATGCAAAATAAGTGTACATCACATATACACATTAAAGAAATAACCTAGTGATAATTTTCCTTAATATTTTGTGTATATCTACATTTTGACAGAGACCTGTCATATGAGGTCAGGCATAGAATATTCCAGTTGTAATGTCAGGTTGGCTTTCAAAAAGCTTTGGATTTTGGAGCATTTCAGATTTCAGATTTTTCAGATATCGATGGTGAAGCTGTAATAATGCCTCACATGTAGACAGAGATTAAGATCAATAATGTCCTATGCATCATGAGCCTTTGAACAAGGCATGTCCAGCACATCCCATGCACCACATGCTGCCTCAGACAGCTAGCAAAGTGGCCACACAAGATTGTAAACTTCTAACATTAATATGTAATTTTTAGCAACGTTTGTCATGACCTGAGCTCACAGTGATCAGGAACTGTGTAAGCAACAACAGAAAGCCGTCAATGAGAGGGTGCACTGCACTGGTGACTCCACCGCCTATTTCTGCCACAGAAGGTGTAGTGGCAACCCCTGTATACCAGACTGTTCTTGTATATGTGAGGTGGTAGTAAAGTGCAGCAATTATCTAATGCAGTATTAAACCACCGTGAATGTTCTGGCAGTGGAGACGGACATTTATAGTCCTTAGGCATGTACATTTTCTGCTTTAATTATTAAACATGGCTGTTCGTTACTTCTTAATAAATTTAATAAGTTAAAATGGATTTTCAGGAGCCATGCTGAGACAGAAGTTTAGGGCATGACAGAGAGGTTGGGTAAGTGAGAATGACCTGTCAATCAGAGGGATCCAGGAAGTGTGCAGACAGCTACAAAACCTTACACCTTGTACCAATCTGACAGTGCTGACTTCATTTCTTCTGGCACAAGATCAGCAGATTTTTGATAAAATGACCATATCTGACATCGGCATGGGGGCTATAAAAGCCAGTGGCCATTAACCTCCCGGCCGCTGTGAGCCTTTTCATCAGCCCACTCTGCACTCTGCAAAGCATATTTCTTTTATATCTTTAATCCTACTTTTAATAACTTTAGTAAATGCAAAACAAGTTGCTACCGTCTTTTCTGTCAATTCTTTTTTCAAAACAACAAAAACTTAGCAAGAACCCTGAGGAAGAACAAAGCATGTCAGTAACCCTGCTAACAATGCCATAGGAAGCATAAAAACGTATCAGCCATTTTTGCTCATGGTATTTTTAAAGTCATATATATAACTTTGGTAATACGGAAAAACATATGGTTCCTTAGTTACTATGTTTTGTATTATACATATTTTAAATGTAGCCTAAGACAAATTCTCTTCCCTCAGTTCAACCTAGGCAAGCCACAAGGTGGACCACCCATGGTTTAGATAATCCCATGGACTGTGACAAAAAGTATTAACTGGCTGATTAGTTTACAGTCAATAGGAAAGAAACTCTTCAAAGTTTAGGAATTTGATAAATTTTCACTAACATTAAATAGCACAGTCAACATTTAAAACAAGTGTTTTTACTCTCCATTCAGTGTTCTATACAAGAAATCCCATATAGCCAGAATTAGAATGTAAAAGTTGATTTAAAGCTTAATCATATACGTCTTAATTTCAGAAAATGTAAACTATACAGTCTAAAGAAGTGATTTTTAAACTTTCACATGCATTCCTATAACTCACTTGGGAATTTTGCTATAATGATTATTGAGATTTAGTATATCAGGATCTCTAGCAAGCTGGCTGGTGAGGATATTGGCCTTGGTATCCAAATAACAGTGAAGAGCAAAGCAGTCAAGAAACAACTGTTGCTAAATTAGTAACATAAAATAACACAATTATGAGTGTCTCTGCAAAATTTGAAACATCTCTTTTATGTACTTAGATCAGCTCCTTCTATGCTATGTTAAAGATGGACAGTGAAGTGCTTCAAATTCAGAGTAGCAAAATAAATTAATTAAAAGGTGCATTATTTTGAAATGTAATTCATATTTCAAATGCATCTTGTAAAATTCAGATGCAATGAAAGCAAAAATGGTTTACCACAGTTGTGAAAATTAATAATAACCATCTATTGAGGATTTAGCCTAGCTCTTAGCTAAGCATTTCCACAACAAGGTCACACTCAGTCCCCATAATATCCTTAAGAAGTACTATTATATTAATGCAAATCAAAGAAGAAAATAAGTATTAGAATAATTTAAATAATTTCTCTAATTTTAAAAAGATTTTAAATTGTGATAAATGGCTAGGAGAAAATTATATCCAGCTGTTATTACAGAAACTCTCAAGAGATATTTCAAATGCATTTATACATATATATATATATTCTCTTTACTTCTTCCTATTTACTTGCTAATAATTACTCATAAACTACCTTGTGTCTTGGTGTGAAGTGTGCGTCTATATTTTATCCTCTTTCACTGTTTCATAATGCTTTACATTTAAATATTAGCTTAAGATTTGCAGAAGTTCTAAAGTACCTTTTTTTTTTTTTTTTTTTGGTTTTTTTCCGGTACCAGGAATCGAACTCATGACCTTGCACTTGCCACACAGGCCCTGTGCAGCTGAGCTAAATCCCCAGCCCCCTAAAGTACCATTCTTCAAATCTTAATGAATTCAGGAAAATGTTACAATGCTTAAGTTCTGAGTAATGCCTAATAAAAAATATGGAGTTTCATAGTAAATTACATATTTATAAAACTTTCAATTATAAAAAATTACTGCTCTATGTGCAAATATCAATTTTATTTAATTATGATCACGTGTTTTTATGGAATTTTTAATAATATTTTAAAAATTTAGGAGACAACAATATAAGAAAGTTCACATTAAATCAGATAATACATAATTTTATATAGTATCAGAATAGTGACCCTGAGAAGAATCTTCCCTGACTGTAAAAGATTAGCCCCTGAACTTACAATCAAGTACATTTTTAAAAAATAATTATTTTCTACCTTTTCCTATATTGGCATAGTATCATTATTTGTACCAGAAAAGTTCTACATGTATTTCTTAAAATATCAAGCTCATAAAATTTCCTCTTGGCACAAATAATACTGGGGAAAGATTAATTGTTTTATATAAAGTATACAAATTTTATTTCCAAATTATTTAACTCTTGATGTTACATAAAAGTCACAAACAAAAACTATGGTGCTGTGTTCTACATTTAAAATCTCTCTTGATGATTAACATATGTATATATAGCATAATATATACATTTCTTTCTCTATATATATATATAATATACAGTATGACAATGTATGTGAATAAGGTCTAAATTGTAAGTTTCCAAATTGTCTACACTTAAAATTATCTCAGAAACTCAAAAACACCCTTTTCCATATTATATTCCATTTCAGCTGAATCACTCTCTCAAGATGTAAGCAAAATCAGTATTCATTAAACCTAGACAGGTGATTCCAGTGAACAGCAAAGATTAAAATTAGCTAGCTGTCCTAAATCTGAGTGAAAAGCAGAACATATCTGTGTGCAATATAGTGTTCCAGAATAATTAATATAAAATGTTCATAGTGTTTTACATTAATTCATGTTGTTAAATAGCATTGCAAAAATATATTATCACCTTTTTAGAGTTATAAAAAAAGAGAAACAAATTGTATATCTGAAGCTTGCTCTTTTGGATGTTTTCCTACAAATTTATGATGTTGGTGCAAATTTTATCCTCCCAGGACGGCAGAGTGAGGAATCTTCAAAGTAGACAACTAATTTTATGCTGTGAACTGCAACAGTGTTAGCATCTGTATATGTAAGATATGTTTGAAAAGAGATTAAAAACTCTGGTGACAGTCTTGGCTCTTAGAGCAGGAACTGTGGAAATACTTGGGAAATGAGACTGGCAGAGAAATTTATGTTTCTGTGTTAACTTAAAGGAATTCATATACTACTGGAAATATTAAATGTATTTTAGAAGGCCCATGGGATAAAAGGTCTATATAGAAATTTCCTTGTATTTTTACATATTGGAAATAAACACAAATTAAAAAAAAAAACAGTTTACATAATATCAATAAAACAATACTAGGAATAAATCTAGAGAATTTATGTAAGATTTTAATAATTAAAATACAAATTATTGCTGAAAGAAAATGAATAATGCCTAAGGAACACAGATATCACGTTCTTAGATCACAGATCTAAACATCAGATACAAAGAAACCAGACATAAGAAACTAGATAGAATAGTATATTATGTGTTATTCTGTTTATATGACATTCTAGAATAGGTAGAAACTGAAATACACTAAGAGAAATCAAATTTGGAATTATGGGGCATGATGAGAGACCATGGGACTATTCTGGGAAAGCACCGATATTTTATATCTTGATTAAGATGGTGAGCACACAGCATATATATTTGTCAAAAGCTATCAACCAACATAATTACCATGTGTAAGTTTTTCTGTATATAAATTACACCTTAC